ATATATATATAATTCATATCTGATACATCGTAAAACTCTAAATAGAAAAGTAGAAAAAAAACCCAAAAGAAAAACTTCAGAAGCTGTGACTCACTGTCTGTAAGCAGTGACCGACTGTCCAGACGGCGCCCTAAGTACACTTTGGAGGTGGCTAGGACAAGGGCGATAACTCCGCAACAGGAAGAAAATATGTCTGTTAACAATCTTCCTTTCTGAAACAGACCAAGAAACAAAACAGTGCCATTAGGGTTATTTCCAAAACTACTTTTTGGTGTAGTTTTAGTAAGAGTTTTACGGCAATTGCAGCACAATAAGGTCATATAAGTGCCGAAGATTAGAGGTGTTACTAGAGAGTTAGAAACACAAAAAAGGAGGAGAGATTAGGACGGTAGATGTTTGATAGGAAAGAAGAAGCAAACCACACCAGAGCACGTGCCAATCACCCACTTTCCAGATATATATGAACTTACGCGTATTGGTATTTCTATCTTTCCATCGACACAATTTCGATTATTTAAGAGACGGGATTTGAGTCTACCTGTCACAGCCAACCCAGACTGAGAGGGATACAACATCCCAGCAGAAAGACCGCGGTACCCGATAGATATTCTTCCAACACGGGAATCGAACTCAGGTCTTCTTCGTGCGACGGCAAAGCATCTCACCAGTACGCCACAGTAGTGTGCGTCTGAATACCTTTACTTTACTTTACTTTTATCCGCCGCTTATACACTTTTGGGTGTCGCGGGAAGAAAGAGACCTCTCTGTGTGAACGGCAGAATGGCTAAATCAGTCAGCGCAATAGTGCGGTCTATGTTGTAGGTTATCCCTATCAGGGCCAAAGCTGCTCGCCTTTTAAATTATGATGTAAAAGTGTGTAGGTAAGGGGAGTAAAACACCTGCAATGAAATGATATGATTAATGTTGTCAAGTCAAGGGATATATAGCTAGTTGACTTCTGCATTGGAAACGTGAGAACTCAGCACTGTAACTTTAAGCCTAAGTCGGTTTTTGCATTTTGCGAACAAAGAGTATACTTTAGGAATGTTTCGATCAATATGAAAATGTGAAATGATGCCTGTTCATTTGCTCGTGCGTTTAGGCACAACTTTGTACAACTACTGCATTGCACAATGTAAAGAATCCTTCGTTCATGCCCAACCCATAGCTTACCCATACGTTGCTGCTCGCTATGGGGTGAGTGAGAGATAGATAGATAGATAGATAGATAGATAGATAGATAGATAGATAGATAGATAGA